CCTAAGATAACCTTTCATTAATCATGAATTTACATAACTTCCGTCCAGGGGACGGGTACTCCAGCTACTTATAAATAAAATAAATTATAATATCAGTTATTTGTATATTACTAAACACCAAACTTATATTTGAATTATGTAGTAAATTCGAAACAAATAGTACGTATTAAAAAATCCTATCGCTGAAAATTTTGTACTGAAAATGTTCTATTTTTTCTCTCCCATCCATATTGGTTTTTTTATACATTATATGACAATTGATTTGTCATTTATGAACATCACTCAATGATGCAACTTACAACGAAATGCACTATAAAGTGAAAGTGAATGGGATGACTAAAGTTCTGTTGAAGAGGTACTTCGAGAGGGAAGAAGACCTTACGGGTGCAGCTATTGATGTACAAATTGACATGACAGGTGTGGCTGTTATAGAAGCAGAATTAGAAGACAGTGACTTCATTATAGAAGATAAGGACCTACTAAGTCTAAGAGCACTAAGTAGAGATGAGGCGTACAATGACGTCAACATGAGTGTCAAACTGACTGGTAGGAAGAGAGAAGAGAAACAAAATCTATTGTGTCAGCATACAAATAAATTAGTAAATACGGACCTCAGGCAACACAATGTCAAGATGAAGATGAGGGATCCTGTTAAGGAGAGGCCCTACTGGAGATCCTACCCTACCCAAAGTGCATTAGTCAATTACTGGATTAGAAATTTATATTGTGTCCAAGTATAACGATAGGCGTGGTTTGTACTAAATTAGTTTTGTGAAACTGAGTGTAATAATATTACTACATATATGGTACATTAAATTTCCATGATAGTATTGCTTCTATCAATTTATTGAATGCAGTGACTTAGATTGAACGCATCTTTAATCACACTCTCCAAAACCTTTCCAACTACTGATGTAAGACTAACTGACCTATAATTGCCTGGACAATGTTTATCACCTCCTTTAAATATTGGACTAACATTAGCCAATATTCTAATACTCTTCCACTACTCAATGACCTATAAAAACATTAGCTAGTGGTTCACAAATAAAATTTTTAAGTTCTTTTAAAACTCTAAGATAAAAGAGTCCAGGGAGTTTATTAATTTTTAGGTTTCCCAACGTTTTTCTTACAATTTCAGAACTTAAAAGGATATCTTTTACATCAATATTTTCCCAAATACATTAAGTGCTCTGGTTGAAACATAATACTTGTATCTTCCTTAATAAAAACTGAAGAGAACATATAATTTTTTAACTTTGCCATCTCGTAATCGTCCAAATCAGTTCCCCACTATCATTTTTAAAATGCACAATCCCCATCCTAACACTTTGCTTACCCATCATATACCTAATGAATTCCTTATTGCTTGATTTAACTGTCTCAGCCAACCCTCTTTCAAATACAGTTTTGCCATTTAACTTCCTTTTTAACCAGCTCTCTTGATATCTTATAGTTCTCCAAGTCCTTATATTTCCAGTAAGTTTACATTTCTTGAATTTATTATATATGATCTCTTAAACTTTTACTGAACCATACTGGCTTATTCCGCTCCGCTCCGTTCCCATTTTTTTCCTATAGGAAATATGTATGTTCTGAACGTATATCAATTTCTCCCTAACTGCTTCCCACATCTGTTTAAGATCCCCTACCAACTCTTTAGTCCAATTTACAGGAGGCATATCATGTCTCATTCCATCAGAATTGGTTTTCCTGATATTTGGAATCAGGGTACTATTCTTCTTCAATTCTACATATACTAAAATCCCACACCTAATAGTGCAATGACGAAAATAAGTTAATCTGAGAATATCGTACTATTATGCGATTGGCTATAAATGTGGAGAATAAACAATGATTTTTAGCATCATATGATAATAATAAATTTCAAAACAGTTTTAATAAAAAAAAATTATTTCTTTTATTTTAACTTTAAATTTCAACTAGATCAATGTGCTAGGCTACCAGTTAACATGTATACTGAACACAACTATAGTACAACTACATTCTGTATAGAAATGCTTGAATTGAAACTCACACTGAATTAATATTTTTAGGAACGGTATAAAATATTCTTCTATAAGATAAGTAATTAAATTCAATATTTAAAAATTTTAAATTTTGTTTGAATTTTCTTTTAAACACGAGGCGGCGCTGTTAAACACTATGAGTCATAAGAAGAATCCATGTTTATAATATAAGTGTAGTTAAACTTAGCTTAAAATATAATTTATAGAGAAAAACTCAAATGCAGGATTAATGATTAGTAGTTTTTGGCAACAGTTTTCACAAGTAAAGTGATTGTGTTTAAGTACATATGAAAGGTCGAAATAAAGGATTCAAACAGGTAATTCTATCATTACTCATTTACTATATGTCATTAGTCAGTGTAATAATTTAAGTTTTTGTGAAACTGATTGTAATAATATTACTGCATATATGGTACATTAAATTACCATGATAGTATTGCTGCTATAATTATAAACTTATTGGAATTGAATGCAGTGACTTGGATTAAACGCATTGCATACACTGAAGGAGTGAAGCTATTGTTTTAAATTTAAAAATTTGACTGTTCAAGTAACTGCAATATTAGTTTATTACTGTATTAGTTTGATATTATAACAGTTACAATTAAAATTTGAGGACTGTCTGGGAGACTAATGTGCTTATGCTCTGCATCTGGCTGCTTCCTTCAGTGTTATCATTATCAAATTAATTTAATGTCACTTTGTCAGTTATTGTTCCTGGCTTTGGTCATTGGAGTGACCCATGCTTTCATGATGTATGCTAAAAATTGCACGAACCTCAGAATCATTGAGTGATATACTTATTATAATAGCTAGTCTACAGAATTCATTTTTAATTCAAGGTTGTCTTTATGCACAAATAAAACTAAAATGATTTCAAGTGTAACACTACCAGTATTATCATTCGTTCACTTACATCAATACTATGCCATATTCCAGCTTTTCTGATGAGCTCTGGTATTAGGTAAAAGGCCTCATTGGCAAATGTTGTTATGGGATCGATATATTATAATGTATTCTCTTTTGCTTTCATTCATGGATTATTAGAATACCAACAGTAGCTAGCAAGAAGGAAGCAGTCGTGCATTAGCCTTTGAGGCAGTAATCACAGTTTTTAGTGATAAGAAAATTGTTCCTATTTATTTATAATTATCATAAATATTTATTGGGCCCGGCATGGCCAGGTGGTTGGAGTGCTCGACTTGCAACCTGAGGGTCGCGGGTTCGAATCCCCGTCACACCAAACATGCTCGCCCTTTCAGCCATGGGAGTATTATAATGTGACAATCAATCCCACTATTTGTTAGTAAAAGAGTAGCCCAAGAGTTGGTGGTGGGGGTGATGACAAGCTGCCTTCCCTCTAGTCCAGATAGCCCTCGTGTAGCTTTGCGCAAATTATGAAACAAACAAATATTTATCACAGTAGTTTAGAACTTAAGTAAGAGGAGGGGGGGAGATTCAGTAACCTATGCTGCTTCATAATTAAACTTGTTGCTTCTAAACTTATTAACAAAAAATTAAAGACTAATGCTTTAAGAAGTTTATATTTCAAGGTTTTGTTGAAAACAATTATGACTGCTTTAGCTTTTACATGTTTTCTTCTGCTTACAGAAGAGAAGATGTTAGCAATATACCTGAGCATTGTATGGGAAATATTGATACTGACCTGAATTATATCAATATTAAGATTTTAATCTCATGGTAGTAAAGGGAAAGTAGCAGAACCAGATCATGTTTTAACTGTATCTCAGCTTTGAGAAGTTGTAGGCTAGTGATCTAAACTCTTCACAAAATCTTGTTTCTTTCCTTTTTAACTGTATAAGCTATTATGACTTCCATTTCAACAGGGAATCATGTAAACTTTGGAACAAAGTTACAAAAGCTTAGCTTGGTCATATGTTGTTGGAAGAAGAGATGTTTATGAACAACTACAGTTATAGTCCTGATTTTTTTAAAACTTGTTTTATCATTATACACTTCACATGAATTATAATTTTGTGGGATGATAAGAAAATAAATGTTTTTTATAGAACAAGATAAGGTAGATTAACTAGGCTTAGTTTAATCCAAAAGATTGGAAGTTACTCTTTTTTTTTCAAGAGAGGTGATAAAAATTGTCCAAGTAATTATTGGCCTATTTGTCTTCCGTCATTGGTAGAAAATGTTTTTAAAAGTCTGATAAAAAAAACTTTACATATTAATTTAACAAAGTTTAAAATTTTGTTGGATACTAAATATGGTTTCACTGGGGGAAAATCTTGTTTTTCCAATTTATTGACATTCTTTGAAGAGGTTACTGCTTATGTAGATGAGGGTAAAGGTGTGAATTTATTGACATTTTTTGAAGAGGTTACTACTTATGTAGATGAGGGTAAGGGTGTGAATTTATTGACATTTTTTGAAGAGGTTACTACTTATGTAGATGAGGGTAAGGGTGTGAATTTATTGACATTTTTTGAAGAGGTTACTAACTTATGTAGATGAGGGTAAGGGTGTGAATTTATTGTATCTGGATTTTCAGAAAACATCCAACAAAGTGCCACACAAAAGGCTTGTAGTGTTGTGTTCAATCTTGGGCTTCTTACCTTAGGAAAGGCATTGAATTGTTGAAAAGGATTCAAAGGAGGGCTTTAAGTCAAATTCTATGAAACACCATTAACTCACCAATCACATTACAGTGTGAATGATCTCCCATGTTTTGTGTTTGTTTAACTACCAATTCAGTTTTTTTTTAACTGACTAATTATTGTATAAGTATTTTGCTTTTGGAAATACAGTCCCATTACTTTTCATGTTTGAAGTACACCATTCTACATTTTGTTGTGAAGTTAACTAATGCAATGTAATTTGATGTGTTATGTTTGTGGAATTGTTGTACTTTAATGTGTATAGTTTTGTTTAACTGTTAGAGTATTATATAATATTCTAACTTGTGAGTTATAAAATTAATATGTGATGCACTTGCATTGACTGTTTCTGTTGTACTAAAACTGTTTTTGCCCTTCTTCACATGAAGAAACCTTATGCCTCGGGGGGTCAAGAACAAGGTAGGACATAAAATCAGGACTTTTAGTCAAGTAGGTCTTACGTGGGAACTCATAGGACTGCTTGTTTGCCTGCTTCCTGTTCATCATTAGGTTGGGTTATGGAAATGTATTTAAAAGTATATTGATATGAGTGTCTTTAAGGTAATCTCGTGTTTGATGAAGAGACGAAAATTTGATTTTCTTTCACTTAAACTTTTCATGTCTATTTTTTCTTACATGATTGTACAACATAGTGTTATTTCATAGTAACTTATAGTGTTTTACTGTTGGAACAGAAAAAGAGCTAAAAAGAATATGTTTACATACAAAATGGTGTGAATATGTCTCTCTTGATCATAACACTGGATCACACAACAGTATGTTGGCTAGTAAGATGGATAAAAGTAAATCAATGGGACAAATCTAGGCTTAAAGGAATTTAGATATAATGTTGTAAGTGTTGCTATAGCAATATTCTTTTGTTTTATGAGAATTTTTAATGTATGAAGGATCACTATTACTAGACAGACGTGTGTAAGAAAACTACCATAGTTAATTTTCAGCATTTTTCTACATACAATCAATCGTCTTGTTCATGCTCAAATATTAGAAATGTATATATAAAAGTTCAGTGCGAGTAAAAAAAGGAAAAACAGCATAATTATAATCACCTCTAAAGAAGCTACTGCTTTGTTTATTGAACACACCATAAGGGCAAATAATTTTGTTAGGAACACAAAATTAAAGGTTTTGACAACTTAAAATCACTAGACGTATGAAACTTGCTCAGTGTAGTCAGTGCAGCCAAGTGTAGTCAAAGAAATGTTTTATGCAATAAATTTGAAAGTTTTTATTGATATTCCTGTTAGGGGAAATATTAGAATTGGCCTGAATTATATAAATAACAATCCCTTTATGGTACAAAGAAATATTTAGAAATATATCAACCAGGTTTTTAAAGAAAATCAAACATCAGGTGTGTAAACATCTTTCATTTTTGCAAGGTCAATAGATAGTGGATAGGTTTCTGAGTATTGAAGAGTTACTAATATTACTTTTTTTTTTTAAGGGGGGGTGTGATAAAAGTTACCCTGGAAATGAAGCTAGGTTCCAGATAAACTATTTTGGGGTGGGGTGGGCTGACACTTTACAAGATCTTAAGAGAAAAATTTATAGTTTCTTGAAAAAGTTGGGTTTAAATTTTTACTTTTTCTCAAGGATGGGTGTACAATGTATGTGATGTATTTGTTGTCTGTAAGCTATATATCAAACAATACAGTGATTTGTATAAACCTAAATGGAGTTTATTTTTTATCAGTGCCCCCCCAAAACTATATAGTTGTTTCATAAAGTAGTGATAAAAGGTAAAACATAAACACTATTACAGTGTAGATAGAAAAGGGTAGTATAGTGGTCCTAGATTTGTCCCTGATCATCAGAGTACATGCATGGCTTGAAGTTTGACATCAACTCTCTATACAGTTTTTGTTTTCTTCTCTTGCTGCATGTTAGTAATAAAAGAGTTCCTGCTGGAAATAGACTGCATGTTTTAGTGTAGTCGTTAGAATTTAACTAGATCATTAATATTCTATGCATGCTGAAAATTTTTTTGACATTAAGTAGTTAGTAGATTCGTGTTATGGAGTTTGTGACTAAACACTGGGAGCATCAGCTATTCCTAAACCTTGTGATTTATTTATTATTTTTTCGTCTTTGTAAAATCATTTGAAAAAGATATAAAAGTTTCTTTGTGTGTATAACCATTTAATTTCTATAAAACAAAGACAACCCAGAGTTACATTACCATTTTTTTAAGGAATTATTTTTGAATTTGTGGTGTGTTTTTTTTCATGATAAATGTGAAGTTTCACCTCAAACATAATATTTCCTAACAGGAAAAATGATTGATGAATAAGTTTAAAAGCTAGACACGTTAATCTTTTAAATAAATTGTCTAAATTAGCTGGTATGTAAACTTTCTACACCTTACATAAGAATTATTTGGATTCCTCATTTACACAAGGATTTTGGAAGTATAACTGAGTTTTAATTTTAAATAAATCTTGGTTTAAAAGAAAAATCACATTTTATAGCTGCAAATGCTTCCAGTGGAGTGATTATCTTTCATATTGTTTGTTTTTTTAAATAGAATTTCATGAAGAATGTATATTTTTATATGCACTGAAGTCTTGTTTTCAAAATTGGTTTAAGAATTATCATAAAATCTGCACAACAGGTCACATTTTTCATCAAATGACAGAAGTTTTAATATTCTGCAGTTTTTTTTATCCTCTTTTTGTTTTGTAATATGACTACCAGTTTCTGTGTAATAAAGAAGTACATCTATCATGTTATATATGTTTATCACAGCTCATGAGATACTTTGTGCACTATTTTAGTGTAATAACTTTAAAAACTAGATGAACAAAATTGATGCAGAAAAAAAAATTGTTGCATTGTGAGAAACAATACAGAGAAATGGAGATTTTTTTTAAAGTTGTGTCAATGCTCATTAGTTTCTAAAATCTTATTAGATTATCAAATGTTTTATTTAATGTATAAACAAGTTAATATTTACTGTATAATCCTTATTTTTAAGCTCGTTTTTGATTTAAAATATTTCAGCTAATGCCTACTACTAACTACCTGTGCGTTGCAGATTTTCAAAAAAATTAGCTAATAAGCATTATAATATATTTAGTAAAGTAGGTTTTTACTTAATCTAATGCATTCATATTTAATATGTAGTAGTTGCTGCAAAATAATGCAACTTGCTGGTCTGAAACTACTTTTTGTAGACACATCAGGTCTAACCTGAATGTTGCCAATTAATGAAATTTAAGCTCACTTGTTTCTTTTTATCATTTTAATAGAGTTGACCTGTGTCGTATTTTGATCTAGGAAAGAGTAGGATGGCTGAGAAACCACTCAAAGTTGGTAACAGGGTAGAAGTTGTTGGAAAAGATGTGAAAGGAAAAGTAGCGTTTATTGGCACCACCCATTTTTCACCAGGAAAGTGGGTGGGTGTCATTCTGGATGAATCAAAAGGGAAGAATAACGGAACTGTACAGGGAAAAAGCTACTTTCAGTGTCCCGATAGTCATGGGATCTTTGTACGACAGTCACAGGTTGTTATTATTTAATTTTCTTTAAAACTCTTGCAATCATGTTAGTAAGTTTCAGTTGTAAACATTAGAAACTGGAAGTCCATAAATCCAGAAACATCCATTTTTCAGAGATTGATTTTTCTCCTGTTTGGCATGGTCTGGTGGTTAAGGCACTCAACCCACAATATGAGGGTCACAGGTTCCAATCCCTGTCACCAAACTTTTTTGCACTTTCAACCATTGGAGCATTATAATGTGATATTCAATCCCACTGTTCATTGGTAAAAGAGTAGCCCAAGAGTTGGCAATGGGTGGTGTTAACTGGACTAACTGCCTCCCCTCTGGTCTATCACTACTAAATTATGGATGGCTAGCACAGGTATCTCTTATATGTTTGTGCAAAATTCAAAACAAACAAATAAACTTTTCTCCTGTTGCTCCATTCATCTTAGTAAATACAAAGATATTAATATATCAAACAAATCTATTATGATTACAAAGATATTAGTATATCAAACAAATCTATTACGACATTTCTTCCAAAATTTACAAAAACAAAAAATCAGTTCTGTGAATTATCAATTACTTTTGGTCAAATAAAGAACTGATGTCACTAATTTAATATACTGGGATAATAATGGGTATGTGGTGTCATAAATTAAAAACGTATAGTAATTAGAATGCACTGATTTGTCAGTTGAGTACCCTTGCTGTTATTGTTATTTTCTGCCATAATCTCAATGATATCTCGTGAGGTTCAACCATATTAAGAGAGTTAGGTAAGTCCTAAATCTGTATACTAAGCTAACATTAGCAAATAATCCTCATAAGGAAAAGTATATATAATAAATAAAAAATAATACATTTATATATTAAAAAAAGAATAGAATATGACTATTTCTATAAATTAAAAAAAAATGTTATAATTCTAATACTTTAATTTAAAAATTGGATAGTTTTTCTAACACAATCTAAGATCTTAAATTATTGGCTTGTAGGTCTGAAATTTTTTCTTTGAGCAAATGTTGCATGACAAGCAAATCTAGTGCATGTTAAGTCATGCAGTAATCACGTCCACGTGTAGCTGGTATATATATATATACCGTATTGCCCCTAATTAATGCAAAACTGCAAATGGGGTGGGGATGCTAACTATAGTATTTGTGCAGTTCTGGATTCTGTTTTTCACATGTGATTTGTTGATTTTAATGCTAATAAGTGTGTGTGTGTGTGTGTGTTTGTTTTTCTTTCTTTTTTTAATCAAAATTACAGTAATAAAAGTGGGTTATATGTTGGATTACTATTGCTGTCAAACAAGGTAAGCTTCATAAAAATACAAGGGGAGGTGATAATTAGAGAGGGGCAATATAGTGTGTATATATACATACATTTTCTGAAACTTAACTGGTTTTTATCAGTGGCTATGTTCAATGAATAAAAATGTACAATAATTGTAAACAGTAGTTAATAACCCAAATATATGTATCACCTTATAACCAATAACCTAATTAAATATTACCTCCTAACAACTGAAATTTAAAGATCCAGAAAAATGACCAATAAAATATATTTACACAAAAAAATAATATTTTGCTCATTTCTTTACAAATGCCAAAGGATTCAATAACATTATTAAAACAATTAAAATGACAAGAACAAAAATATTTATCAACAAGGACGAGGTAGTTATCAGGATTTAGATATGACATTGGAAAAGATGTATCCAAAGCTATAAGTTAACCATGTCTGTCTTACAAATAGGAAAAGTCAAAATCTTGTCTTTCTTGTTTATTTATTTATCATTGCTTGGGCTGTCTTTTGATGTATTATTTATGTATTTTTGTTAGTTAAAGGTATTTGATGATGGCTCCAACCGAAGATCAATGGGTGGTACACCTTCGCCCTCTCCTTCACCCTCAACTAGTTCACCCAATCTGACTGCAACCACTCCTCAAGATGAGAGCATGCGGAGGTCAATGGGAGGTACTCCTTCACCATCATCTAGTTCTTTTAACCTCACCACCCCAGGAAGCACCCCACGAGATGAAAACAAAAGTAAATGATTGGTTGAAGTTACATAGAATCAAGGAATAGTTTTCAGAAGCTTATCAAATGTAATAAAATAAGTGATGGGCAAGACACAAGTAACCCTCGCAAAGAAATCTAGAAATTTTACACACAAATTAATTTTTTTTAACTAGGCTGTACTTACTGTGCATTTTTTGTGGAAACGAATGAACCTGTAACTCCATA